GCGGGGCGCGCGGGGCGCGCCCCCCCCCGCCGGTGCTGAGGGGAGAGAGGAGCGCGGACACCGTGGCCGCCATTTTGTGGCGTGTGAGGGAGCGCGGTGGGGGCTGCGCAGCAAGCAGGAGGACGAGGATGTGAAGCTCTCGCTGTCTCTCGCCGTCCCTGTGACATGCCCGTGGAACCCGGCCAAGATGCCAGTATGTCCTCAGGTAGAACGCGGCAAGCCCCTGTAAAAACGGTGTCCTACACTCTTCAGTTCCCTTTCTATTTCTTGGTTGCCTTCAGTTCCTAGAGTTACAACAGGGGTTTTTGTGGTACCTGACTCGGGGTCTGTCGAAAAAACTGTTTTCAATGTATGTGATGGTTTTAACCAGCGTGGGCAAACAGCTGGATTAATAAATCAAAATTGCACTCTCTTCCCCATTTTAGCTATTAGATGCTCGTACAATGATGTAATGCTACACTTTATCCCTGGACAAGGATTGATGGTGACATGACTGCACTTGATATTCCATTTATAGTACATACCTTGGCCCATTAACAATAAAAATGTGCACGAGCTGGTCATTGAGGGGGCAGGAGGATCCAGGTACCATTCAGGACTGCCCCATATGGGCTCATGGATGCCCATCACCACGAGTTTTACCATCCCCTGATGGTTAAACCCATCACCATGAGGGTGCCATCCCCGTTCCTTTAATCCCAGTGCTATGCATTGCCCACCACAATACAATACATCTGACCAAGAAGAAACTTGGCTAAATAGTCAAATTAAGCAGAAAAAATATGCCATTTTCTTTTCTGCTTTTCTTTACCTGTATGCTTTGTATTGATGTTGTGTTGGCTGATAAAAATAAAATAACTACCGTCTCATCTGAAGTAAAACCTTCAGGGATGAGGTTAACCTATTAAGCTGTGATGGTTTAATCTGCATGGTTTAATCTAGATGGTTTAATTAGAAAATATTAGATTGACATTTATGTCCTATGGCCCTAGTGTTTTTCATCTGATGTTGCACTCGAGAGCTGGTTGAGCATCCAAGGAACTATTTCCAAAATAAACAATTTTAGAGTGTTTCCAAAAGGGAGGTGTTTATCTAAGCATTTTGCAGATAGGGAAAGGCAGGCAGAAAGGCATTAAATGACTTGACAAGGTCATCCAGAGACATCAGTAATGAAACAGGGAATACAGCGTGGGCTTCCCAGCTGCCAGTTGCCTTCTCTAATCACTGCTTCCCCACGAGGCTTTCTCAAATTGTACTTGTCAAACATTCAGAATGTGCCAGTAGATTTGGAACTTTGTTGGAATCTATAGAAGAAGCTGAACATTTTTTTGCCAGAGAAAAATGTTACGAGCACATATAGGTAAAATATTTTCCCCTATTTTAGCTGGAAACTGCAGCATTTATTTTCTGTGGAAAACAGTTTCCAGTGTCTATTTTCCAAGAGTGATTTCTGGCTTCTGCATGAACAAAACAAAAGCTTAATACTTTACTAAAGCAAAAATTTCAGAGTGTGGGTCTGAGAGAGGCAGATGGAAACCAAGAGCATCAGATACTTCAATCTCCTGATAGATTTTTGCTTTATTAGCCTCTGCTAGTTTGCTTCTACTTTTTGGACATCAGTGTGTGATTTTACATATATATAAAGTTAAATGAGCTTTGTGTTGAGACCAATACACAAGCTTTTGCAGATTCTAATTTCCTTGGGGAATTGCATGATTAGCTCTGGATTTGAAGAGTAGACCTAGAGGAAAACGGTTAAAATGTGTTTTGATTAGATTTTTTTTTTTTGGTAAAAGGCTACAGAAGCTGCCAGTTTTCAAAAATTACAGAATAAAATGTAGAAGAAAGAGACAAGTAAAAGCTGTCAGGAGACTGACAGGTTAAAATGTGTTTCATCAGAAATGAGATAGCAAATCCCATCTAGATGCTCAGGGTTTGTCACTGCTGTGTGCTTTGGGTTTGCCTGAGACTTCACCGGCTGCAGGGATACAAGTTAATTTTCTCACTGCAGAAGTATCTGCTCCTGTTAATAAATTAGAGAAACTGCCAAAAGCAGAGCTGTCCGTGCAGGGACACAGATCCCTTCTTACACCATACGGATTTGATAATGTGCTGATAATTGTTAGGTGTACAACAGTTGGTTCTGCTACTGGGTATTTTGCTGAACAATCTACGTTTTTGATTTTTAACACTAGTGGTAGTGATAATGGCAACAATAAAATCACATCACTGTGACTTTATTGTCAGATGCAAGCATAGGTTTGCCACAAGTGCTGGGCATGGACTGGAGGAACTCACACAAATTGGACAGATAATGTGTTAACAACATCAAGGGTGACAGATGCATGAAATGGATCAAAATAAGCAACAAAAGGTGCTTTTTAGCAATTCTGGAGGTTTCCCTGTGATACTGACCACTTCCCATGTACCCAGTTGTGTGCAAGGCATGAATGGGATTCCTCACAGTGAGGAAATCAAAGGCTAGTGAAAATGTTCTGTTCAGAATATTTGATTTATTGCTTTGATTTCTGTAATAAATAGTGCTGTCCCGTGCTTTAGTTGCTTTGTTAGTAGTTGGGGTGTTTCCCCAGGTTCGTTCCATTAATTAATGTTTCACACATTTGTGCCTCCTTTCTTTGGAATGTGGTCTGTGGTCAGCAGCCTCCCTGTCCAGATCTCTGGGTGCTGATGAAATCGCAGCGTCTTGTGTTGCTGCACAGCCCTGCTCTCCCCAGAGCACCGCATTCAGTTCTGTCAGCATGAGTCAGCCTGGGGGCAGATGAACTCTGAGGTTTTTTACTCAGAAATTTGAAGCAAGGCCCCAGTGTTGTTCTCAGCTCTGGTACCGTGGCCTCTGCTGTCCTAAGGAATGTCAGGTGTTCACACACCCACCCACCTGTGGGAACTGCAGACACTGAATTTTCCTCAACACTTTTCATACTGTTCCACTTTTTTCCTTAACAAAATCTACCCCTTTGCAGTACGCTTTACATTTTCAAGTGAATATCTGAGCCCAAATCAATGTGTTTCTGATGTCACATACTTCAAGTATCAGCGTAAGGTTGAAATAAAGTCTGATGACTTGTGTTTGGTACCAGAGTCCCACAGAATCCTGGAATGGTTTGGGTTGGAAGGGTCCTTAAAGCCCATCCCCCCCTGCCATGAGCAGGAACAATTTCCACTATCCCAGGGTGCTCCAAGCCCCAATGTCCAACCTGGCCTTGGGCACTGCCAGGGATCCAGGGGCAGCCACAGCTCTTCTGGGCACCCTGTGCCAGGGCCTGCCCACCTTCTCAGGGAAAAATTCATTCCTGCTATCCCATCTAACCCTGCCCTCTGGCAGTTTAAAACCATTGCCCCTTGTCCTGGCATTACCTGCCCATACAAAAAGTCCCTCTCTTTTTTATAAGCCTCCTTCAGGCCCTGGCAGGGGCTCTGAGCTCTCCCTGGAGCCTCCTCCAGGTGAGCATCCCCACCTCTCCCAGCCTGGCTCCGGAGCAGAGGGGCTTCACCCTGGGAGCAGCTCCGTGGCTCCTGTGGACTGGCTCCAGCAGCTCCAGTCCTTAATGTGCTGAGGACCCCAACTAATCTGCACTTACACTTCACAGACTCTCCAGTGGCCGTATCAAGATTAAGACTGGCTTGAGAGTCCACCCTTCAAGCACCATGAGCTCCCAGCTGAGTATTTTCAATTATCCTTTCTGTTTTCAGAAGTTACTCAGTTGTAGTGTCTCCAGAGATTGATCCCATAAGTTCACACCTTGTTTCTGTTTATCTAAGGGGTGGCATTCCTAACTTGTCAAATATCACATTCCTCAATGACACCTTCACTAGATGATCTTTAAGATCCTTTCCAACCCAGACCATTCTGTGCTTCTATGATCTTACTCCCAAAATGACATCATTTGTGAAGGTGCTTGAGCTTTAGAGGCAGCTGTGGAAGCTCCCAAAGCAGTGGCTGTTATGGGCAGACAGAGGAGCTGTGTGGGTCTGTGTATCGTGGTTATCACAGCTGTGGGATGTGCTGGAGTGTTTCAAACAGAGCCAGAAGCTGGGAGCAGCTCTGTGGACAGAGGTGCCACAAAAGCCTTATCTCCTGCGGGCTGTGTGGCACTCAGTGATGAGCCCTGAGAGCCTTTGGGGAGCAGGTGCTGGGGACAGAAAGCAGAGCTGGCCTCTGTCCCTCAGTCAGCAGGGACACACCAAAGCCAGTGTGAAGCCCCGACTTCATGGGGTCTTTGACCTCCTTGTGTGATTTGAGACTCTGCTGCATAAAGCCTTGCACTTATTTCCAGGGAAGGTCACATTTGTTCAAAACATAATTTATTTGCATTTCCTTTATTTTCTTTTTAAGTTGTCTAACTTTAGCACTTGGGGCACAGATGAAGGAGCTGCTGCCTCAGAGATTTTCCATTTACATAAAAACCCCACCCACTGTCAGTGCATCCATTTTGCTGAGTGCTTTTCATTTTCCATGACCTTGAAAACATAAGGGCGTTTATTAATTAATTCAAATTTACAGCTGGGTGGAGGGGAGAATTGCAGATCTGAGATAAGCAATTTGTTGTGTGCCCCTTATTTGATGAGGATTGTAGGAGAAGTAGTGCAAGCCGTTGCCAAAACTTCCCCTCCCAATCAACCCTGTTTTTCATTTAACCACTGGGTAAAGAGTGACCATAGCGGGAGG